GAGCCGACGGGCCGGTCGGACAGTGAGCGGCTGGTCAGCGGACCGGCTCGAGTCCGGCGCTCCAGCCGACGCGCCGACTCGGAGCCGGGACAAGAGTCGGAGTCGGGATACAGAAAGTCGAGAGTGGACCGAGTGACCTGTCCGCCGAGGAGGATGGTGGCAGCAGCCGCGGATGGACAAGTCGACTGCAAAAGTTGGAGGCGGTCCGCGGAGCAAGGGCAGATACACACTTGACGAGGCGAAGAGGCCGAAAAGCAAAGTCAAAAGGAGGATAGCAAGCGGCAGAAGTGGTAGAAATAGGTGGAAAAAGGTAAGCGAGTGGATTTCTTGATTAAGTACTTGGTCAGCCGAGGTCGCCTAAAGTGAGCCAACAAATAACGGCTGATTCGACTTTCCATTTCGCAAGAAAAGTCGGCTTAAAGGAATCTGTTAATTGGTCGCGTCGGAGACCGAACGAAGGCGGATTGCCGTGCAATGAACACGACTCCGACTCCGACTCTTCTTTTCCATGCGAAAGAGACTTCGTCAGAGCAAGAAACCATGTTTTACCGAAATGACAAGACAATTTCTCTTGATTTGAAGTACTGGATCTTTTACTCTGATGATGTCTCTGTCACAGGAAAGACGAAATCTTAACATAGATTAATCGGTTGGACGGTGAGTCGAGGAATTTATGACACAATTTAAGTTTCTCAGCTTAAAAGTCCGTTTAGGGTGATGAAGGACTGGTAGTTCAATTTACCTGCAACCACACAAACAGGCCACACATTTCCAATGAATCTCACATAGCTATTGCTATCCAGGCAGAGATGGACTGCAGTCTTGGCCTAGCCCAGATCCCATCAGCTCTCCCAGCGGGACTCAAACCCTGGTGGTGTGAGATTCAATAAAAACATGGAGCCTGGTCATATGATTTGGGGAAAATTCAATTACCAGTCTTTAATTATCTAAAAGGAAATAGATTAAAAACAGCTCTTAAATCAGAACTACTATTGGTCTCTAAAAGCATACTTATGAAACGAAGGATAAGTAATGTATTCGATTGCTATGGCGACCTAGGCGAGGATGGGAATAATACATTTTAGAAGCAAGGTCATGTGAAACTCAATGATACATGTGGCCTATTCATATGATTGTGGGAGAATTAAACTAACAGTCCTTCACCATCTTAAACGAGATGGGGTGAATACTGTCCTTGCACACCCAATAGTCGTTACTCCAGACTGGTCAATCCTCCTTTCGTTTCCGGTCGGACCAATTCACAAAGTCTTTCCTACTTTATTTTCATTCAAAATGAAAATTCGAGTAACACGAACTCTCTAAGGTTTTTATTCATATATATGAATTTCATTTGTAGAAAGACTCAACTCTCATTACCCAAATCACCTTAAGCGACCTAGCCTGCCTCAGTTCCTGTTTGCAGACAGTTGGCATTTGCACAGTGACCTTCACTCATCAACATCATCATCATCACCATCGTCGTCGTCGTCACCATTATCATCATCATCAACCATAATATTATTTCTATTTAGTATCCGAAATTAAATGAAAAAACGAATACTGCATACAAGAAATGTGAGGAAATCGGATAAGGTCTAAAAGAAACTCATCTAGTTCTCTGCTGGTCCATTTATGATTAAGAAAATGTCTCCAAAATATAGACTTGTGTAATCCAACCCAAGTTATTCTAGATATTTGTTAAATGAACACAAAGGACCCTCCTAATTGCATTCAACCGAAGTGAAAAGTGACCAGCAGGTCTGCTAACAAATAGAAGCCTGCTT